GGGGGGCGGTGGGAGGCTTCGGGCGGGGTGGCCCTGGAGCGGGCAGGGTGGGAACAGCGCCGGGGACCCGGCCGGGAACCGCGGGGGGAGCTCCGGCGGCTGCGGGGGGGTCCTGGCTCGGGGACTTCGCATCGGGGACCTGCCGGGGGCAGAGGGGAGCCGGTGTGGGTGTCGGGGTGCCCCGTGGGGTGAGCCGGGGCGGGTGACACTCCGGGTGGCCTCGGAGCTACAGGGGCTCAGCGCGGGGGGGGTCACAGGGCGGGACGGGGCACGTCTCACCTCTCCCCGGGACAGACGGACAGCCGGGACGGTGACAGCGTCGAGGGCCCGGAGAGGATGCTCGGAGGAAGCCTCGTCTGTCACGGGGGATTCCTGGGACGGGACCTGCCCGGGGGACAAAGAGGGGCCGGTGTGGGTGACACCGGGTGTCCCGCGGCCCCGGGCGGTTCCGGGGTGGTCGGGGCACGTCTCACCTCTCCCAGGGACGGAGGGACCAGCCGGACGGGGACAACGCCCTGCGCCCCGGTGTCCAGGGCGCAGGGCTGGGGCTCCTCGTCCTCGCTCCAGGCTCGGGCTCGCTCGGGGTCCGGGTCCTCGTCGGGGTCGGGGTCCCCCTCGTCCCGCGCCAGGAACCGCCACTCAACGACACACAGGATGGCGTCCCGCGCCCGGGACACCGTGTAGGGCACCCGCTGCAGAGACAGCGCTGAGACCCCCGCCCGGACCCACCAGACACCCCTAGGACCCCCAAATAGGGGGAGGGGGGTCTCTCACCTGCCGCGCCACCGCCGCCCGCACGCTCTCGGATATCACCCGGTCCAGGAGCTCGGCCAGGATGTCCTCGACGTCCAAGGGCTCCCCGGGCGGGGACCCCCTCCCGCCCTCGGCCGAGGGCGTGTGGGTGTCAGAGTGAGTGGAAGTCCGGGGGGAGGCCCGGGCGGGGGGGCGCGACTTGTCCCGTCGCACTTTGGGGGCTGACGATCTCTTTTTCTGCGCGGGGACAGGAGACCCCCACAGCTCCCCCTGCCCAGCCGAGCGGGGGCACCGCATCCCGGGTGGGACTGACCCAGTGCATCCCAGTGTAGACCAGTACAGCACAGCCCACCCCAGCGCGGGCCCCCAGCTCATCCCAGTACACTCCAGTATAGACCGGTACACCACAGTCCACCCCAGCGCGGGCCCCCAGCTCGTCCCAATATAGACCAGTACACCCTAACCCATCCCAGCCCCCAGCTCATCCCAGTATAGACCAGTACAGCAGAGCCCAACCCAGCGCGGACCCCCAGCTCATCCCAGTACATCCCAGCTGATCCCAGTACACTCCAACTCCCCACACCCACACACGCCCCAGCTCCTCCCACCCCCCTGTGCCCCCGTTCCCCCCCGTCCCACCTCGGCCATCCCGTTCCTTGGCGTCCCGGTCTCCACGGTAACGTTGACGTCATCACCGCGCGCCGCTCTGCCTTGCGCCATCACGCCGCGACGCGTCTCCATGGCGGCGGCGGGCAGCGGGTGAGCGGGGGGGGGAACGGGGGGAGCTGGGGGGGACTGGGGAGACTGGGGGCGGCCCGGGGACTGGGCAGGGGGGATTTCTGGGGTCCCTGGGACAGAACGTTGGGCCGGGGGGCAGGAGGGCCCTGGGAGGGGGGGTGGATTTGCCCCCGGCCCCCCCGGCCCTGCCCCCGCCCCCGAGCCCCCTGGAGCTGTTCGGAGCCCTCGGAGCTGCCCCGGCTCTCCGGATCTACCCGTGACCACTCTGGATCTGCGCCCGGTGCCCCTGTATCAGTTGGGCCCCCCCGGGCCGGTGTGACGCCCCGGCTCTCTGTGCCCCCCAGGTACCGCCGGGAGCGGGCCCTGGCCCTGCGGAACAGCAGCTCCGCCCTGTACAACAACCTGACTGTGCTGTGCCCCCCCGCGCGGCCCCCCCCGGGCCTTCGGCGCCGTGCACGGCACCACCCTCAGCCTGCTGGGACCCGAGGGGCCCCCCCGGCAGCTGCCGGCGCGGGGGGGGGGCTCGGCCCTCAGCACCCCCCTGCTCACACAGGTGAGGGGCAGGGGGCACAGGTGGGGCCCTGCCCTGGCCATTGTAGCACTGAGGGGGGCCTGGCACCCTCCTGGCACTACGGGTGACATCGGAGCCAGGGAGGAGGGCGAGGGGGCCCCGGGGTCCCACAGTGCCCTAATTGTGGGGAGGGGGAGAGGGAAGCAGCCCCTTGGGGGGGTTGTGGGACACTGGGGGGGTCCCCAAGGCTGACAGGTACCCACCTGTGGGATCCCCAAATACACCTGGCCCTGGGGGGCTGTGGCTGGGCCCTCCCCCAGGAGTGGGGTCTGGGGGGGCCCCAGGAGAGCAGAGGGGGGTCCTGCCTCTGGTGGAAGGTTTTGGGGGGTCCCAGCAGGAGGCCGTGGGAGTCCTGCCCCAGGAGGAGGGTGTGGGGGTCCTGCCCCTGCCTCCCTCCCACCCCACTCTGTCCCCCCAGGCCGCCTGGTGCGAGCTGCCAGCCCGGGTGCTCCTGGTCCTCACTTCCCAACGCGGTGTCCAGGTGAGGGCTGGGGGGCTCGGGGGGGTCCCTGGAGGTCCCGCTGCCCCCCCAGGGCTGTCACCCCCCGGGTCCCACCCTGTCCCCCCTGTCCCAGATGTACGAGGCCGACGGCTCCACCCTGGTGTTCTGGCACGCGCTGGACGTCCCGGAGCACCCGGCGGGTGAGTGCCCCGAGCCCCCCAGCACTGCCAGGGACACGCCTGGCCATGCCCCAAGTGCCACAGCCACAGGGTGTTAAATCCCCCCTGCCCTGGGCAGCTGTGCCAGGGCTGGACAGCCCTTTCCAGGATGGAATTTTCCCAGTATCCAACCTGAGCCTCCCCTGGCATAGCTGGAGGCCGTTCCCTCTCCTCCTGTCCCTTGTTCTCTGGCAGCAGAGCCCGACCCCCCCTGGCTCCCCCCTCCTGTCAGGGGGTTGCAGAGCCAGAAGGTCCCCCCTGAGCCTCCTTTTCTCCAGGCTGAGCCCCCCCAGCTCCCTCAGCTGCTCCTGCTGTTCCAGCCCCTTCCCAGCTCCTGCCCTGGACATGCTCCAGCCCCTCAATGTCTTGTGAGGTGCCCAAACCTGCCCCAGGGTTGGGGAGTGACCCCCCAGTGCCTGGCACAGGGTTCAGTCCCTGCCCTGGGGTCCCCCAGGGGTGACACAAACCCTTCCCTTCCAGCACATTCCGTGTTTGCCCGAGGCATCTCTGCGGCCGGGGAGCGCTTCATCTGCGTGGGTGAGCTGGGCTGGCTGTGGGCAGGGCAGGGAGCCCGGGAGGGCTGAGCCCTGCTGACCCCCTGACCCACAGGGACATCCTCCGGGGCCGTGCTGGTGTTTGACATCCCCCCCAAAGGCACCAACGTGACCCTGAGCGAGGTCCTGGAGCAGCACCGGGATCCCATCACCGACATCGCGGCTGAGCAGGGCCAGGCCCCAGTAAGGGGGAAGATGGGGGGCCCTAAATCCCATTGATCCCACCCCCTGCCACGGGCAGGGACACCTCCCACCAGCCCAGGTTGCTCCAAGCCCTGTTCAGCCTGGTCTTGGACACATCCAGGGATGGGGCAGCCACAGCTTCTCTGGAAACCTGTGCCAGGGCCTCCCCACTCTCACAGGGAAGGATTTCTTCCCAAAGTCCCACCAAATCACCCCTTTTCCAGTGGGAAACCATTCCCCCTTGTCCTGTCCCTCCATCCCTTGTCCAAAGTCCCTCCCAGCTCTCCTGGATCTCCGTTAGGCACTGGAAGCTGCCAGGGCTGGGTCCCTGCAGATGCTCATCAGCCTCCTCCCTGCACACGAGACTGCTCAGCACTTTCCCTGATGAGTCACACAGAACTTTCCTGCGCTGGGATCCCCAAGGAATTCATCCCCAGAACCGGTTCCCAGAGCTGTTGTGTCACCGTGGGGACATGGAGCTGTTGTGTCACCGTCCCCTCACACGCCCCCCCGGACTTTGCTCCATGTGTTCCAGAGGCTCCTGGGGCCAGGGTGTGGGATTCCCAGGGCTGGGAGGAGCCGAGACTCATCCTGGAGGGAGGGGTGCCCTGACTGTTCCTCGAAATCCGCCCTTGCTGTGGCTGTCTGGGCAAACAGGGACGTGTTCCAACAGAGCCGCTGCGGGTGCTCCCGGCCCCGCTCGGGCGGATCCATCAGCACTTTGGGAGCTGTGTCAGCTCCTCCGGGGCCTGTGGGGCAGCCCCGGAGCCAGGGGCAGTGCCAGGGCCCATCCTGAGCCATCTCTTTCACAGGAGGCAGCTGGGGATCTGGTGACAGCTGATGACTCTGGGACCCTCTGCCTGTGGAGCACCGGGGAGGAGTTCACCCTGCTCGGAAAGATCCCGGGATCTGGGTGAGCCCCGGGGGTCCTGTGGGGTGTCAGACACACGGGAGGGTGACCCGGGGAGGAGGTGACATGAGCCCCTGTCCCCAGCTGCACCTGCTCCTCGGTGACGCTGTGGAACGGGATCGTGGCTGCGGGCTACGGGAATGGGCAGATCCGGCTGTGGGAGGCAGGGACGGGGCAGCTCCGTGCCCAGGTGAGCGCCCATGCCCGCTGGATCTACGCCCTGGACCTGGCACCGCTCACCGGAAAGGTACGGGGGGGTCAGGGCATCCCACCTGCGTGCCAAGCTGGCATCACACCCCAGCATCCCACACTGGCATCCCACCCTGGCACTCCACCCTGGAATCCCACCTGGAATCCCACCCCGGTGTCCCACCCCGGTGTCCCACCCTGGCCCTGGCCCTGCCACCTCCGCGGTGTCCCCACGGTCCCTCCGCTCCCCCCGCAGCTGCTGTCGGGCGCAGAGGATTCCTTTGTCCACGTCTGGAAGCTCAGCAGGGACCCGGACACGGATGATGTCGAGGTGAGTCTGGGCCCGGGACAGGGATGTGGCCCTTGGAGCCACATCTGCTCCTTGGGGACCGGGCCGTGTCCCTGGGAGCCGTGGCTGCCCCGGTCCCGGCGTTGCTCCGGCCCCGCTCCCCGCAGATCCAGCACTGCCACGCCGAGTGCGTGACGGACACGCAGGTCTGCGGCGCCCGCTTCTGTGACCCTGCTGGGGACACCTTCGCTGTCACCGGCTACGACCTGAGCGAGATCCTCTGCTATGGCCCGGCCTGAGCCGGGAGCGCCGGGAACGCCGGGAACGTCGGGCTGATCCAGCACCGCGGGCGAGGGGTGAGCACAGACCCCCCCTCCAGCTCCGAGGGGATGTGAGGGGGGAGCTGGGCCGGATCCTCCCGTGCCCAAAGCCCCGCCGAGGGCCGGAGCTGCTCTGGAGCCAGCCCATCAAGGGGATCCCCAAGATACTCCCATGGCCCCCCCTCCAGGTCCTGGGATCCACCCGTGGCTCCCCACCCTTCCCGGAGGGCTGCGTGGCTGGGAACGGGCTCGGCCCAGACGGGAGGATCCCGGGAAACCTGTGCTACCTGCTGCTCTGCCCCGGCCAGGAGAGCCCTGAGCCCGGCCCAGCCCTGAGCTTGGCCCAGCCCTGAGCTCGGCCCAGCCATAAGCCCGGCCCAGCCCTGAGCTCGGCCCAGCCATAAGCCCGGCCCAGCCCTGAGCTCGGCCCAGCTGCGGGGCAGCTCCTGCCGGCCCCAAGAACTCCGGTCACACAGGGACCGGGATGGGAGGGAGTGGGGGAACAGTGGGGACACGGGGAGTCTGGGAGACCCCACACCCCCGTGGGACCTCACAGCCCCGTGGGACCTCACAGCCCCGTGGGACCCCAACCTCTTCTAGGACCCCACGACCCCACAGCCTCATGGGACCCCAAGCTCCTGTGGGAACCCACACCCCCGTGGGACCCCGCAACCCCACAGCCGCTGGCCAGATGTGCAAGGCCCCAGCTGTGATCCGGGGCTGGAAACTGCAGCAGCAGCTGCAGCAGTACCTCAGGGACGTCCTCAGGTCCCCCTGGCTGCCCCTGACCCCCCCGGGGGGCTGCCCTGCCCTGGCCCCCCCGTGGGAGCTGCCGTGACCCCAGGCTCTGCTCCCAGGGCCTTGTGAGGCCGTGGGGAGGACACAGAGACAAGGGGGGCTCAGCCTGGGACAGGCCTTGATGGGGGGGAGCCCCCAGCCTGCCCCCCCAGCCACTCCTACCACGCTGGGGGACGAGCCATGGACAGGGATCTGCCCCCCCAGTAAATGACCCCACCCGTGTGTCCCACTTGTGTCCCCCCCAACCCATGAGCTGCACCCCCATGTGTGGGTCAGGGCCCCCCATTCCTGTTCCCACCCTCATGTACTTCATATCCCCCCCAATAAATACACCCCAATGAAGCCCCCCCAGTGTTGCTCCTTCCTGTGGGAAGGGGTTTGGGGGGCAGAGCGGGATGGGGGGCACTCAGAGTCGGGGTCTGTTACAAAAAGCTTTATTAAAGGTTAAAACAGCTGCTGCTGAGGCGGGGGGGCCCACTCCAGGCCGAGGGGGGCCCACTCCAGGCCGGGGGGGCCCTGGAAGGCCCGGGGGCCGCTGTGCTCCTGGGGTAAAAAAGTGTAAAAATGGTTGTGCAGTTCAGCCCGGAGGGATTGGACGGTGCCACCCCCACTCCAGGGGGACACAGCCCAGGGACAGGGACAATGTCCCCCCTGGGCCCAGAGCCCGGGGGCCCGTCCAAGGCACAGAGATGAGCCGGGGGCTCTCGCAGCCACACAAGCACCCAGGGACCCCCCCACACCCACCCCACCCACCCTCCTCACAGCTTGGCCCCCCCACCCCCTGGGGGGGAGAAAATACAGCACCAGAGAGCCCTGCGGGGGGAGAAGCCCTCAAGAAAGACGGGGGGGCAGCAGAGCCCCCGCTCCCTGCACACCCCCAGCCCCAAATACTGCTCGGTCAGAGGTAGCACCAGCATTGGCCGGGGTGGGGGCCCTGCCGGGGGGCTCAGCATGGCCCCCCCGGGGGAAGGCACGGTGGGCAGGGGGCTGTGCCCCAGCAGAACCTGTAAACAGCCAGGGGTGGGGCAGGTAAACAGGCCCTTGGGGCAGGCTGGCCGAGCCCCCCAGCCTGGGGTGGGGACCCCCAGCCTGGCCGAGCCCCCCAGCCCGGGGTGGGGATCCCAAGGCCGAGCCCCCCAGCCCAGGGTGGGGGTCATAGGGCCCAGCCCTTCAGTTCTGTGTGCAGTCCCTGGGGCTGAGCCCCCCATTCCAGTGTGGGGGTCCCGAGCCTGAGCCACACAGCCCAGCACAGGGACCCCCAGCCCAGCACATGGACCCCCAGCCCAGCACAGGGACCCCCAGCCCAGCATGGGAGCCACAGCCCCAAGCCCCTCACTTAGAACAGGGACCCCCAGGCCAGCTGAGCTCCCCTGCCCAGTGTGAGGGTCCCAGCCTCAAGCCCCTCAGCTCAGCACAGGGACCCCCAACCCATCCAAGCCCCCAGCTCCATGTGGGGGTCCCAGCCTCGAGCCCTTCCGCCCAACACAGGGACCCCCAGCCCGGCCGAGCCCCCCAGCCCCACACAGGGGCTCCCAGTCCAGCCAAGCCCCCCAGCCCCACGCGGGGGTCCCAGCCCCTCGTCCCCAGCTCAGGACACGGGGGGCGAGGGCCGCCAGAAGCACCACTTGCTGCGGGGGTGCTGCTTGCGCTGGAGCTGCTCCTCGCGCTCCCGCTCCTTCTTGGAGCGCAGGTACAGATCCTCCTCCTTCAGGTACCACACCGGGGGCCAGCGGTGCCGCTCGAAGTGCGCCTGGTTCTCTGTGGGGGCAGCCCGGGGGTTAGGGCACGGCAGGGACGCCCCCTGAGTCCCCCCGTGCCCCAAGTGCCCCCCGTACCTGGGGACATGAACTTCATCTCGCGGGGGAAGCGGCGGCACACGCGGTTGTAGTTGGTGCAGATGTAGTGCAGGCACCACGCGGCCAACTGGTGGGCGTTGTGGAACTGGGGGGGGCACAGGGGGGTCACCCCACTGCCTGCACCGCACCGGGGGTCCCTGTGTCCCCCCGGGGGGTCTCCGTGCCCCCCAGCCCCCCGTACCTGCGTCATCTCCAGGTAGATGATGACCTGCTCGTCGATCTCCACGCGCTGCATGAAGGCTCGGAGCAGCTCGTCCACGGCGTATTGCTCTGGGGGGCAGCGAGTCAGGGGGGTCACTCACCGGGGACGTGCCCCCCCGGGGTGAGCCAGGCCCCCCCGGGATTGCGCAAGGCCAGGGAATGACAGAGAGGGACGATCGATCCGACCCCGCGGCACCGGCAGCGTATTGGCGGGTGACGTCAGGGGACACGGCGGGACCGGGGGCGGGGGGGTCTCACCGGTGAGCGCCTGCAGCCGCGGCAGGCACAGCCGGTCCGTCAGGATGAGCAGCTCCATGGCGTCCAGGTCGGGCGTGGGGGTGAAGACCCCCGTGTAGAGGAAGTCGAGCACGGCGCGGAGGCAGGCGCAGTTGGTGCCGGGCAGGGATACCTGCGGCACCAGGGACGGGTTTGGCGGGGCTGGAGCCACCCCCGGGGGGGCCGGGGCAAGGAGGGACCCTCCTGGCAGTGCCCGACCTGGCACAGACCCCCGACCCAGCACAGCCCTCCACAACTCTGGCACAGCCCCTCCTGACCCAGCACAACCATCCCACAACTCTGGCACAGAGTCCCCTGTCTGGCACAGGCCCCCAGCCCTGATACCATCCCCCTCACCCAGAACAGCTCCTCCAGCCCCAACACAGCTCCCCCCCAGCCCTGGCACAGCCCCCCCCGATCCAGCAGAGCCCCCCAGCCCTGGAATAATCCCCCCAGGCCCAGCACAGAACTCCCTGACCCAGCAGAGCCCCCCACTTTCTCCCCAGCAGAAGGGAAGCAGGACCCAGCTGTGTCAGGGCTCGGAGGGGGGTCCAAGCAGCCCCCAGACCCCACCCAAAGATGCCCACCCTTCCAGCAGCCCCATGGCAGAGCCAGTGGGTCCCCCCAGGCCCCTCAGCCCCTACCTCTTGGGCGTAGCTCTCACGGAAGCCCCCCCGGAACATGGCCCTCATCCAGTCGCAGCCAGCGATGAGCAGCGGCTTGTGCGCCGGCACCAGCCCGTCATCCACACGGAACACCACGTCTGGGGACAGGGGACAGCTCAGGGAGGGACAGGGGACAGCTCAGGGGAGACAGACACCCCTCGGACACCACAGACCGGGGACAACCACCCCTCGGACACCCCTTGCCCACCCCAGCCCAGGGAGAGGCCCCCCTTGGCCACCAGAGCCCCCCACTATGGGACAATCACCTCTTGGTCCCCCCTGCCCAGAACTGTCAGCACCCGACTCCCGGTAGCCCCACCCACCATGACTGACTGTGACAAGGGCTCCGGGACCCCAGACCCCAACGGCCTCAGTGGTGGGAGGGGATCAGGGTGACTGGAGCCCTGTGTCCAAGCTGACATCCCAGGAGAGGCACACCGGCCAGAGGGGACGGAGCTGGGTGACCCCCTGTCCTCACAGCCCCCCCAGGGCCCCCGTACCCGCGAAGACGCCCTTGGCCAGGCACTCCTTGACGCGGTTGGCGCGGCGCACGTGGAAGGCCTTGGTGATCTCCTGGTTCATGAAGCTCTCCTGGTTGAGCTCGTTGGCCACCATCATGCGCAGGTCGAACACCTCGAGCAGCTCGGCCACGGCGCCCACCTGGCGCAGGTCGGCGTGGGGCCGCTCCAGCCGCCCGGTGTACAGGTACTCCAGCACGGCGCGCAGCGGCTCCGGCCGCACGGCCCGGTCCATGGCCACCACCGCCATGCGCCGCTCCCGCCCCGCCGCCGGCTCTGGCACCTCCTCCCAGCGCAGGCTCAGGAACCCGCGGCCCCACCCCGACAGGTCGCGGGTGCCCCCGTCCCCCTCGCCGGGGGTCCCGGGCGGCCCCTCGAGCGTGAACAGGTCGTAGAAGCGGGAGCAGGCGGTGGCCAGGAACACGCGGTGGGCGAAGACGCGGTGCCCGCCCTGCAGCTGGAACACGACATCGGCGCAGAGCGGGGCCCGGAACAGCGCGGCCGGGCCCCCCCCCCAGCCCGGGGGGCGCGTCGGGCACCTGGATGAGGGGCGGTGGGGGCTTGGGGGGGCAGGAAGGGCGCCTGCAGCAGCGGGCGCTGCATCTTGCGCAGGTGGGACTTCCAGAACTGCAGGTGGCGGCGGGACACGAGCGCAGCGCGGATGGCGTTGTCGAACACGTCCTTCACCCCGAACTGCGCCACCACGCTGGTCTCGTAGTACGGCACCCCCAGCTCCTGCGCCACCTCGTGCCCCCGCTCCGGCGGCAGGATGTCCGAGGGCTTGATGGGCCTGTGGGGGCACGGACAGGGCAGGGGCTGGGGGGGCTGAGGAGCGGCTCCCCAGGCATCCCAGGGGGTGCTGGGGGCTCCGGGGGGACACCCCAACCCAGGAGTGCTGGGGCGGGCGGGGGCTCTACCCCACGGGTGCTGTCAAGGGCCCCCACCCAGGGGAGTCTGGGGGACGCAGGCACGGGCAGGGACACACCCTGACCTGGTAGCGGCAAAACGGGGGGTCCCCTGGGCAGCAGAGGGAGGGGTCCCCATTCCCACGGCACCGGCTGGGGTCCCCAGGATGGTACACTGGGGGTCCCTGTCCCCGTGGGGCTGGGGTGGTCCCAGCACTGGCGCACTGGGGGTGCCCCAGGTGGGTGGCCCGGGGGCTCACTTGGCCAGCGGCCGGCGTGCGCGGTTGACGGCGTCCAGGTCGGCGTAGCGCAGGTCCAGCTGGCAGCCCACCAGCACGATGGGCGTGCGGGGGCAGAAGTGCTTGATCTCGGGGTACCACATGGTCTTCACGTGCCGCAGAGAGTTGGGGTTCGCCAGCGAGAAGCAGAGCACGACCACGTCCGACCTGGGGGCACGAGCAGGACGGGAGGGCAGCGCTGCCCCGGGGCCACCCCAGCGTCACCCCACGGCCACAGACACTGTCACCCTGCGGCTCCAAACACCCCCTGCTCGGGGGGGCACCATCCTGGGACACTGCCCCCAGCCTTCAGGAGTCCCATGACCCACTGAGAGCCCCTTGACTGTGGTGGTCTCACAGACCCTCAGAAACCCCACAGACCCCCAGGGTACCCCCAGGGCACCCCCAGACCCCCAGGAGTCCCACAGACCCCCAAGAGTCCCATGGGCAAGGGAGCCCCATGGTCTCCAGGGGGTCCCAGGACACCCTGGGAGCCCCACAGAGCCCAGAGGCCCCATGATCTCCCCGAGGAGCCCCACAGCCCCCAGGGCCCCATGGCAGGGGCAGTGAGGCCAAGGAGGGACCCGATGGGACCTGGCTCTGGGTCACCCCATCAGCCAAGCCATGGGCTGCCCTGGCTTGGGTCAGCACCGGGGGGGCCTGGCCCCCGAGCATCCATGGGGGGGTCCCACAGGGGCTGGCCGGGTGGGTGCCAGCCCCCAGCACCAGGGACAGACCCTGCCAGCCACCCCCAGCCCTGTCCCTGTGCCCACGGGGGGGCTGTCACCGTCCTCCTGGCCCCGGCTCGAGGGGTGCAAGGTGCCAGGGCACATGTGGCGTTGCCAGGGGACACGAGGGGTTGCCAGGGGACACGGGGGTGCCAAGGGACACCGGGCAGGTGCCAGGGGACACGGGGAGAGTGCCAGCACCCCCAGGTCCCCGCAGCAGCCGCGTGGCCCCAGGCCCGGGTTGTTTTTAGTCCGTGCTCGGCCGGGACGTGACCGGGAGGTGCCGCTGGAGCCGGGCCCGTGTCCCGGACCAAGATAGCCGCCACCGGCCCCCCCGCCCCCCCCGGCCCCGGGCCCCCGCCGTGCCGCGGGTTGATTAGCGGTGCCGCGGGGCTGGCGCGGGGCGGCGGCGATAAGAGCCCGGACGTGCCGGCGGCCACGGGGAAGGCTGTTTACAGCCGAGGGAACCGGGGGGGCCCCTCCTGCGGCCAGGCCGGCGCCCCCGGGGAAGGGTTCCACATTCCAACAGCCCCTCAGAGACGGCCCCCACCCACAGCGCCGGGGGGGCCGCGAGCACCCGGGATCTCTGCTCGGGGCAGGGGCTTGGGGGATGCAGTGTTGGGGTCAGGGTACCCCCAAAGCCATCCCCGGCCGGGGGTGGGGCAGTCCCGCCGCCCCTCGGAGGGTTTGGGGTGCCGGAGCTGCTCTCTGGGCGCTGGCAGGAGCCCAGGGGGCTCCTTTGGCTCTGTGTGCGCTGGGTGGGCAGGGCTGGGGGGGTCGGGGTGCCGCTGGGGGGTTCAGGGTGCCGGTGGCGGGTCGGGGTCCCACCTGCCGTAGGCGAAGCGCCGATCCTTATGATGGTCCCCGAAGGTGTCCCAGAGGCGCAGGGAGACGCTGACCTCGTCCACCACATCGCGGGAGCGCTCCAGCACCTGCCGGCACCGGGACCGTCACCGGGACCGGCACCATCACCGACCGCCCTGCCCGGTAAACCCAGC